TTTTTTTTTTTTCAACGTTTATTTTTATTTTTGGGACAGAGAGAGACAGAGCATGAACGGGGGAGGGGCAGAGAGAGAGGGAGACACAGAATCGGAAACAGGCTCCAGGCTCCAAGCCATCAGCTCAGAGCCCGATGCGGGGCTCGAACTCACGGACCGCGAGATCGTGACCTGGCTGAAGTCGGACGCTTAACCGACTGCGCCACCCAGGCGCCCCTACATGATTTTTCTTAAATAGCAAGTCAGGATCAGTTAAGGGCTTGAAACACCAATGAATGGATCATAGTCGTCATTTAAAAACAGTGTACTATAAAATGGAATAGAATAAAATTGAAATATCATAGTCTATCACACGTGGTAAGGGCAGGTATTGTCTTGTGAAATTTTGTTTTTCGTTTTGTGCACACACGACACATATACATGGTTGTAGTGTGAAAAGCGTTTCTTGTTTTCTCACTGGTTTACAGTCAGTTAAGTCTGTGGAAACCCTTGCCTTCAACTGTCTCTGTTAAGCCCCACAAAGCAGAGCTGAATCAGGAGTGTGGACTCCAGTGATTGGTGTGGAGGTATTGTGTATTTGCAAAATGAGACCTTTGCCCTCTTTGAATCCAAGTGTCTGGTTTTCACTTTGTTGCTTACTCCTTGAACATTCAGGTATCTGGAGACAGTTTATTCAATAACCAACCATTTTCTTTTCTGAAATACCTACCTCTGTTTGGGTAGGAAGCTGTGATCAGGATGTCACCATTCTCTTTGGCAGCCATACTGGAAAGGGGCTGAGGGCCAGTGTTACCCTGAGATAGCCCTGACCCGTCCGTCTGCTAGAAGAGCAGGAGGGGCGGGCACGTTTCTGATGCACTTTATCTTCTGTATGTGCTCTTGATTTGCGCGCACGGCCTTCTGCAAGCCCTTGCCTCCCATTTCAGTTTTCCTTATGCTTAGAATTAGTATGCTCTATATGAAAAGAAATCACATCTCTTTAATATTTAAAAGTTGGAGGATAGGGGCGCCTGGGTGGCGCAGTCGGTTAAGCGTCCGACTTCAGCCAGGTCACGATCTCGCGGTCCGTGAGTTCGAGCCCCGCGTCGGGCTCTGGGCTGATGGCTCAGAGCCTGGAGCCTGTTTCCGATTCTGTGTCTCCCTCTCTCTCTGCCCCTCCCCCGTTCATGCTCTGTCTCTCTCTGTCCCAAAAATAAATAAACGTTGAAAAAAAAAATTAAAAAAAAAAAAAAAGTTGGAGGATAGAGCAGATATACCATGATATGTTTGGTTGTTTTCCATTTTGGGGGGCAACTTCTTTTTGAAATAACCCATCAGCATGCTAATAAACAAGTGTAATTAAGGACTCATGTGTACTTAGTTTATGTGGCTAATTAACATAAGACTGTTCTGTGTGAGTAGGGAAAAATAGAAAAAAAAAATACTAATACAGATTTTTCAGAGAGTAGGCCAGGAGAAAAGAGTGGGCTTCCCTTTGCTTTCTCGTGCTACTAGATGCTGGCAAAAGAAAAAAATAAAGTGTTTTGACTTAAATTGGGTTTAAGATAAACACGATTATAGCTAGGATTGGGATACAAGTACAGTTGGCTTTTAAACAACATGGATTTGAATTGGGCATGTTCACTTGTATGTGATTTTTTTCCCCAATACAGTACAGTGCTATAAATGTATTTTCTCTTCCTTATGATTTTGTTTTCTTAATGTTTTATTTATTTTTGAGACAGAGAGAGACCAAGCACGAGCAGGGGAGGGGCACAGAGAAAGAGGGAGACACAGAATCTGAAGCAGGCTCCAGGCTCTGAGCTGTCAGCACAGAGCCCGACGTGGGGCTCGAACTCACGAACCGTGAGATCGTGACCTGAGCCGAAGTCAGAGGCCCAACCGACTGAGCCACCCAGGCACCCTGTTATGATTTTCTTAATGACATTTTCTTTTTCATAGCTTACTTTGTTGTAAGAAAACAACGTATAATACATATAACATACACTGTGTTTATTGTTCATGTTATCAGGAAGGCTTCTGGTCAACACTAGGCTATTAGTAGGTAACTTTTGGGGGGAGTCAAAAGTTATCATCAGAGTTTAACCTGGACATGGGACTGGCCCCCAAACACTGCATTGTTCAAAGTCAAGTGCAGTTTACTTAGGAAATTCCCTTTGACATAGCATCAGATACATGTTTTAAGGGAAGTGTTTGTTTATAGCTGATGCATGTTCCCTCACATAGACCCTTTTCCTGGGGTCAGGTAGGTGAGCGGGAGATTGACTCAGCATGTAGATGCTACCCCAGTCACTGGGGGGCACTGGACTCTGAGAGAAAGAGGACTTCTGGTGAGTTTTTATATGTACAGTTTTCCTTTTGGTACAGTTCACAAGAACTGTGTTTCTTCTTCTTTTTGTTTCTTAAGTTTATTTATTTTGAGAGAAAGAGAGCAGGGGAGGGGCAGAAAGGGAGGGAACTAGAGAGAATCCCAAGCAGGCTCTGCACTGTCAGCACAGAGCCCCATGTGGGGCTCTGACTCACAAACTTGTGCGATCGTGACCCGAGCTGAAATCAAGAGTCTGACGCTTACCTGACTGAGCCCCAGAACTGCGTTTCTTCTTCTTTTTAAATGTTTAATCATTTTTGAGAGGGAGAGACAGAGCATGAGCAGGGGAGGGGCAGAGAGAGAGAGAGAGAGAGAGAGACAGACACAGAATCCAAAGCAGGTTCCAGGCTCTGTAGCTGTCAGCACAGAGCCTGACGCGGGGCTCAGACTCACAAACCATGAGATCATGACCTGAGCCCTAGTTGGACATTTAACCGACTGAGCCCCACAGGCGCCCCCAGAACTGTTTCTTCTAGTTGTGTAGTCCGATTTCCTTGTATCGTCTTCATTAAAGAGCTGCTTTTTCCTCTTGTCTGGTCTTGTCTCATCGTGCCTTCTGGCCTCTTCGCCGGGGCAGAGAGAATGTCCTGTGTGCCGTTGCATTGCCAGCACATGGTCACTGGTGTTAAGCTACATTGGACTGAGCCCAGCTGAGTTTCGCATCAGGGATTGTATTCAAGGTCTTTGTCCTGTTTTCCTTCCTACTAGACTGGTCCACAGAGCTCCCTCCTCCCTGGGAAAAAGGTCTTTGTAAAGGCAGCTTCGTTCCCACTTGTTTGACGCGTCCGATTTTGCTGAATGCTTAACTGTGTGCGACGCCCTGTATTTGGGCTCTGGGAATATATGGATAAGTTTGAGACAGTTTTGCCTTCAAGGAAGTCATTGCCTATTGGGAATGAATTTGTGAACCATATTAGCCCCTTCAGCCCTATCAGCTATTGGATTATTCATCATATGAGAAGATTCATTACTACTGTAGGACCAGGTGGTCCTACATTTGGGGACCAATCTATATTTTAAAAAGAGGAGGATTTATTGCAGGAACTTGTTACAGATGTGCTGGAAAGGGCTGGAAAGGGCTGGAGGGAGAAAACAGAGCAAGTGGCCTTACCTAGAGCTTGGTAACTACAGAAAGCTGCTACTGCCCCAAAGGCTAGAAGAACAAAGCAAAGGCTAGAAGAACAAAGCAAAGGCCGTGTTCTGGAGCCTGTTCTTGAGGGGTGCTGTGGCCGGTCCTGCTGTTGGGTCACGACACTACATCTGAGCCAGTCCTGGGCCTGGCCCCCCGCTGTTGCTGTGGGACCACAATCACCACTCTGCTGCCCTGGGCCTGCTCTGCTGGAGCCTGTATGTAGCTGCCCACCAACACCTGCGTCTGTCACAGGGCTGGCCGGAGCCAGAAGCAGATGCCCCCGGCTCCCCCACACCCCCTTAGGATTGTGCCCCTCATTGTCAGGTTGGAGCCGGGTCTTAGATGGCAAGGGAAACTGGAAAATGTTGTTTTACAGTTTCTAGCCTTACGCGACATCTGAGGAGGGCACAGAAAGGCAGGACTGGGCATGAGTTCCACTGGAAAGCACCCAACGTACCAGGTCAAGTAGCATCCTAGCACTATTTGGGGCAAATCTCTCTCTCTCTCTCTCTCTCTCTCTCTCTCTCTCTTTGTTCTTTCTCTTTCTCAAAATCACCTTAAGGACGCTTCTGCAGACTTGGAATCACTTGGACAATGCGTGGTTGTTCCAGGTAGATTTGATATTATTGTCAGTCAGCACCTGTACGAGTAAGGTGCTTGGGCCCATCTACTTGCTGGGAATGTTGGTGGATTTTGTTACTGATCTCACTGAGAGTGTTCCAACTAAAGAACTACTCTAATTTCCAATGGCATATTAAGAAAAAACCATTGTATAGTGTTCGTTTTCAAGAAATCTATGAAGACATACAGTTGCCTATTAGATAGGTAAACACCTCTTCAAAGTAAAATTTCCTTTTGTAGAAAGCACCAAACATTTCCCCCCGAACAACTATTAGATATAAAACACTGCTGAGGTCTGTGTCTTTTTAAGAGTGTGGCCTCTCAACTATATTTCTTTATTTAGATTAACGGTCTCCAGGAGCTGCTCTAACCCCTTTCTCTGTCTGCTCTGGCTTCCCACTAGAATGGTCTTCAGCAGAGAAGCAATCAGGAGACTTCTCGCCAGTAAGTGTCGCTGCTACAGCAATGATGCCCCCGATGATATGGTCCTGGGAATGTGCTTTAGTGGGTTGGGAATCCCTGTGACACACAGCCCTCTCTTCCATCAGGTGAGAACAACATTTTTATTTCTACCTCAGAGGGAGAGAGGGGGATTTTCTTCTCACTTAAGGATCCTACTTTATTCCCTTCCTATATTCTTTTGGAGACAGTCTTAAGAACTGTGGATGGGCTCTGGATCTCTTTGTCCAGAGGGCTGATGCTGTTCCATCTACAGCAGGAAAATGGAAAACAGAAAGCTCTGGAAAACAGACTGGTGTTTGACCAGTGTCCTTGAATATAGAACGAGGGAAAAGCTACTCTTTTTCCCCCCTCTGTTTTTGAGTTAAAACATTGGTGGCATTTAAAATTATTAAATGCTATCTAGAAATACGCACGAACGACCTAATATTTCTGCTGTGTGTATGCCACCAAGTGAATGTAAATCTGTCCTGTCCTCAGGTTTTACGCTGTCCACCGGCTGCTTTTTTATTGGGCTTTCTCGTTTCATTGCTATTAAGCTGAGTGGCTAAACTCTGTTACACTTCAGCATAGTATCTCAATAAGCATATATACTGGGGGTATATATTTTTGTTGTCTGCGACAATGTTTGCCAAGGATAGTTGGTGCTATAGTGGCTTCACCATACTGCAATTTGGGTTGGGAGAAGGGAATCTGCATTATGTTTGGTAGTTTTTTTGTTTTTTGGTTTTTGTTTTTTTCAGGAATCAGGTCAGTGAATGTTCTGATGGTGTAATAACACAAATGTTGTCATGTTTAGTAACCAGTAGCAAATGCTATCATACCAATTTAGAAAATTGAACATGACAGAAATAGCACTATAGGAAATAACTTGAACAAGGCAAAGAAAATGTTTGCATTATCAAGAAAGGCAGAATCTATTTTGGCATCCTTGAGGACCCCAACGGAGAATAGAAGTAGACCTTTCGTAATAAGAAATGTATGAGAAATCTCTTTCTTGGTACCAGTCTTCTCCATCTTTTAAAACCTTGAGAGCCCTTACCCATTTTAAGCCTATGTATTGTGTTATGGGGTGACTTAGAGAAGCAAATTATTTTCTCTTGCTCTTTCTCTCACCCTGTGTCATAGTGTTTCACTTCTAGAAAAGGAAGGGTAATTAAAACTGTTGGTTTAAGGGGAATAATTTGTCACCGTTAATAGGACAGTCTTGGGTTTTTATAGCACCAAGGGAAGAATATGCTAGTAAAGAAAATGATAAAGAGAAAAGAAAGAAGGAAAATAATCCTTAAGCAAAAAATCCTTTGAAGATAATTAAAAATAAAAAAAAATTGTCATTTCCCAGACTTTAGGACTCTTGATTTCTCTAATCCACATAATAAATGGTAAATCTTTCCAAAATTGTAAAATATGCTTAAAGCCTATCCTCCCCAACAGATACCACTATATCTTCTAATTCTTAAGCCTCTTTTAGAGAGTTTGCTATGATTTGGAAATTATTTCACGTTTATAATGCTTGAATACTGATCCAAACAGTGCATTGGTTCATACTGAGAAACACATATGAGGCACAGAGATAAAAACCTAAGATTCCTGATGAGTTAGAGATAGAGTGGGCTTTAGGAAAATAGTCTCAGAGACAAAGTAGCCTGGGCCACTCTCCTTCTCTTTTTAGTCAGTTTATTGTGAAATCATAGGCTTAGAAGGGGGCTTCAAGGAATATGTAGTATGCCCTTTTATTAAAAACAAAGGGTCTAGAGCATATGGTTTTCTGTTCTTCTAAAATTCTATGCCACCAATGGGTATGGCAGCATGCAGTGGCCAGCCAGTGAAACCTCTGCACAAAATTGTCAAAACACTCATTTCAGGACTCTGGAAATCGAACAAACAAAAGCAGTGGGAAGCACTCATTCCTGAAAAATTGTGATGGTTTCAGTAAGACCAACGGAATATGAGGCCTTTCTGCCTGAGGACCCCTCAGCCTCCACCTCCCCATGCACCCCACCTTGGTTGGAGAGAGCAAGAACAGTTTGACCAGTATGGGCCTAGCTGGAAAAAAAAACAGCAGCTTTGCTGTCAGAGGGGGTGGACTTGGTTTGGGGAGGGAGAGATATTAAAGGTTAGAGCAAAATCAACAGAAAAACAGCAGAAAAAAATTAGTTATGTTGGAAAGATCGGCTGATTTGGTAAACCTTTAGCTAGGTTGCCCAAGAGAAAAAGAAGACAGAGATTACCAAAAGGAATTAAAGAGGGGACATCATTACAAGCCCTACCAAAATTGTGCCAACAAGTTAGACAATTTGAGTGAAAGGGGAGAAATTTCTAGAATCACACTCATTAGCCAAACTGGCTTAAAAAGAAACAGAGAAAGTATTGGAACGTACATACATTGATGGAATTAAAGGAGTGAGAATACTTTCTGATTCATTTTATGAGGCCAATATTAACCTAGTATGTCAAAGATGCATATTGTTATCCTTCGAGCAAGCACTTAGAAGATCATTCCAAAAATAAACAAAGGGATTAAGATGGTATATCACAAAAAGAAACGGCAAGCCAATATTACTCTGGAGCACAGATAGAAAAATCCTTAACAAAATATTAGCAAACTGAATCCGGCAATATATAAATGGGATTATATGCCATGGCCCGGTGGGATTTACCACAGGAATGCAAGCTTGGTTTACCATCCAAAATCAATTATTTTTACATACCATATGAATATAATAATGAATAAAAGCCACATGATCCTCTGATTCGACACCGAAAAATATTTGACAAAATCTAACACCCCTTCATGATTAAATACATTGCAATCCAAGCCTATCTCAAAAAAACAAGAAAAATCCCGAATACAAAATCTAACAGCACACCTAAAGGAAATAGAAGTAGAACAGCAAAGACATCCCAAACCCAGCAGAAGAAGAGAAATAATAAAGATCAGAGCAGAAATAAACAATATAGAATCTAAAAAAACTATAGAGCAGATCAATGAAACCAAGAGTTGGTTTTTTGAAAAAATAAACAAAACTGATAAACCTCTAGCCAGGCTTCTCAAAAAGAAAAAGGAGATGACCCAAATAGATAAAATCATGAATGAAAATGGAATTATTACAACGAATCCCTCATAAATACAAGCAATTATTAGGGAATACTATGAAAAACTATATGTCAAGAAACTGGACAACCTGGAAGAAATGGACAAATTCCTAAGCACCCACACACTTCCAAACCTCAGACAGGAAGAAATAGAAAATTTGAACAGACCCATACCCAGCGAAGAAATTGAATCGGTTATCAAAAATCTCCCAACAAATAAGAGTCCAGGACCAGATGGCTTCCCTGGGGAATTCTACCAGACATTTAAAGCAGAGATAATACCTATCCTTCTCAAGCTGTTCCAAAAAATAGAAAGGGAAGGAAAACTTCCAGACTCATTCTATGAAGCCAGCATTACTTTGATTCCCAAACCAGACAGAGACCCAGCAAAGAAAGAGAACTACAGGCCAATATCCCTGATGAATATGGATGCAAAAATTCTCAACAAGATACTAGCAAATCGAATTCAACAGCATGTAAAAAGAATTATTCACCATGATCAAGTGGGATTCATTCCTGGGCTGCAGGGCTGGTTCAATATTCATAAATCGATCAATGTGATACATCACATTAATAAAAGAAAAAATAACGACCATATGATCCTGTCAATCGATGCCGAAAAAGCATTTGACAAAATTCAGCATCCTTTCTTAAGAAAAACCCTCGAGAAAGTCGGGATAGAAGGAATGTACTTAAACATCATAAAAGCCATTTATGAAAAGCCCACAGCTAATATCATCCTCAATGGGGAAAAACTGAGAGCTTTCCCCCTGAGGTCAGGAACACTACAGGGGTGTCCACTCTCACTGCTGTTGTTTAACATAGTGTTGGAAGTGCCAGCATCAGCAATCAGACAACAAAAGGCAATCAAAGGCATCCAAATTGGCAAAGATGAAGTCAAGCTTTCACTTTTTGCAGATGACATGATATGATACATGGAAAACCCGATAGACTCCACCAAAAGTCTGCTAGAACTGATACATGAATTCAGCAAAGTCACAGGATACAAAATTAATGTACACAAATCAGCTGCATTCTTATACACTAAGAATGAAGCAACAGAAAGACAAATAAAGAAACTGATCCCATTCACAATTGCACCAAGAATCATGAAATACCTAGGAATAAACCTAACCAAAGATGTACAAAATCTGAGATGCTGGGAACTATAGGAAACTTACAAAGGAAACTGAAGAAGATACAAAGAAATGGAAAAACATTCCATGCTCATGGATTGGAAGAATAAATATTGTTAAAATGTCAATAATACCCAAAGCAATCTACACATTCAATGCAATCCCAATCAAAATTGCAGCAGCATTCTTCTCGAAGCTAGAACAAGCAATCCTAAAATTTGTATGGAACCACAAAAGACCCCAAATAGCCAAAGTAATATTGAAGAAGAAGACCAAAGCAGGAGGCATCACAATCCCAGACTGTAGCCTCTACTACAAAGCTGTAATCGTCAAGACAGAATGGTATTGGCACAAAAAACAGACACATAGACCAATGGAATAGAATAGAGACTCCAGAACTGGACCCACAAAAGTATGGCCAACTAATCTTTGACAAAGCAGGAAAGAATATCCAATGGAAAAAAGACAGTCTCCTTAACAAATGTTGCTGAGAGAACTGGACAGCAACATGCAGAAGAATAAAACTAGACCACTTTCTTACGCCATTCACAAAAATAAACTCAAAATGGATGAAGGACCTTAATGTGAGACAGGAAACCATCAAAACCCTAGAGGAGAAAGCAGGAAAAAACCTCTCTGACCTCAGCCGCAGCAATTTCTTACTTGACACATCTCCAAGGGCAAGGGAATTAAAAGCAAAAATGAACTATTGGGACCTCATGAAGATAAAAATCCTCCCCACTGCAAAGGAAACAATCAACAAAACTAAAAGGCAACCAACGGAATGGGAAAAGATATTTGCAGATGACATATCGGACAAAGGGCTAGTATCCAAAATCTATAAAGAACTCACCAAA